CTTCAGAGGTCCACAAAGAGGATGTCACGATGTCCTTGTATGTACCTTTCAGTGGCTGAACAGTGTAGTTGACCAGAAATTGATTTGAAAGGAAACCAATCAAAAGCAGCGATGAAGCGCTTTGTAGTGGTCAGCAAATTGAAGGCAGACAAGCCAATCCTGATGTCCTTGGGAGAGTCTTGCCCTCAATGCTTTGTCTTGGACGCAAAGCCATGGATTCTTGCTTGACTGGTTGAAAGTTCGGGCAACGTTAAATGCTGGTTGACAAGGTATGACTTCAATTGCCTAGATGACGCTTTGCAGACTTGGCACTGTTCTCCACTCAGCGGTCTCTGACATCGTTCCGTCAATGGAAGCCATTTGCGATACATTGCCGTGTTACCTTGCCGTGCAGGCGTCAGTATGCCAGAGTCCGTGTTTCGAAAGACCGTGCAAGGGCCACAGCAGACCTTTCTCAAACCTTTTGTTCGATCAGGCTGTGGATGAGAAAATAAATCTAAAGTATTTGCTAGATAAGTGAATAGTTACCCTAAAAGTCTAGGAACCAAATGAATGGTGCGAGCGCTTCTTCAAGGAAGCTTCCCCCGCCACCTTAAGAAGCGTGAGCTATCCTGCGTCCTGTCGCTAGTAGCTTACTTGTGGGGCGTAGGTACTAGCTACCTCTTCTACTAGCTACTTCTAGCTAGCTACCTCTACTCGGCCTACCTTTCTCAGCGTTTCTTTGTTTCACTGAGGATGGGCAAAGCTGCCATTGAACCCACTGCCATTGATCCTTTGCAGAAAGCAGCACTACGTCGCTTAGAGCGAGTCACAGGCCAAAGGGATAACTCAGATAACTCAGGGTTTGAAGCTTCCACTCGCAAAAAATGGAAAAGTGGTCGAAGAAAAATGGAAAGAATGGAAACGCTCCGGTTTCTCCTTAAAGATGTCTTGTCAGCAGGGACCTACGAGTTCGTGGTTACAGTGCGGAAGACTCAATTCGTCCTGGACTTGGCTTGTCCTGATGTCCCAATGTCGGAGTTTATCCAATTAGCCAAGCACTTGCCCGGTTTGCTGGATCAAAGTTGTGAATCCACCACCATATCATAGACAATGAGAGAGTGTTGAGACATGCAGTTGTGGCTTTTGTGATTTAGATGGTTGCTATGAGGTTGGAGGCCATTGCAATTAGTAACAAGAAGCTACTAGGGGCTCCTGGCCTTACTACTAGGAGCAAGGACGCTATTAGGGTGGAGGCCATTCCTATTAATTAGTTGCTGTTTAGTTGGTTTTCTTTGAGATGTTTCAGACTGAACAGCTCTAGGTGGCACCGCGAGGACATCGCCGCCATGGTGCTGTGAATCCACAAGCAGTGACACTCAGTGGCGTGAGGCTTCCCGTGTCGCGAAAAGAAACTGCAAAAAGTATCTCAAGACCGGAAAAAGCAAGGGCACCTCCACAGGCGAACAATCACAAGCTAATCAGGCCGTTTCAGATTCATAACGTCCAAACTCGGTTGAAGCCGAAGCTGCTTGAGGCCATTCATTTAGAGAAGCTCTACCTGGATGTGGTGCCTGAGATGGATGGCTTGAGGTGCCAAATGGTGCGGAGTACTCTTCCTAACCTAGAAGCGATGGCCTCCAACCTACTAGCGATGAATGATTGATGAAAACACTCGACGTTACGAATGGGCTTATCTTCTCTTTGGAATGCCACAGGCTACGAGTCGAGTACATCGGCGATGGTTTGGCAGGGATTCTCAGCCCTCTAGGTTGGAGAAAACCGAAGAGGAGAAGACTCGAGATGTTCAAATTGCAAGCAGAACGCTTCTGTGAAAGTGTCATATTTGTAGTGGTACCTCTTAAAATGAATACTTTCTTAACTTCTGTCTTACATTTCTTTGTTTTCTATCCCTCGCCATGAACGAAAGCACTTCCTCAATTTTGCTTCTTTCAGGTCGCTGCCTGGAATCGAGCGAATCCATACTTTGCCGCAAGGACCTTAGATACCCAGTGCTTTGTTGCATGCGTAGCATTTACCACTGGAAGGGATGGTGTGAGGTCTTAGATGCGAATGTCCAAACCTGTTCATGAAACGTTTACAAAGAATGCATTTCCTAGCAATGACCTCCAACCTAAGAGCGATTGCCTCCAACGTAATAGCAAAAGGAACCTAATAGCAATGGCCTGAAAGTGAAAAAGTCTTCATTTGAAACTGAAAGATTGAAAGACCTTCCAGGGAACCAACCTTCAGAGAGCCTTGCTCCCTAGCTACCTCAAGCGCATCCTGAGTTAGATAATCTCCCATGGGCCAGGTGCGACCAAACGATTGCATTGTGAAAGTCGATGCCTCCCCAACATGTGATTCTGGACATGAAATATGCAACTCCACTTGTGTGGTTCTTTGTTTTGTTCAGACTGGTCGTTTTTCTATCGTTTCTCCTTCTGTTTTGCTTTGCTCTGCTTGATAAGAAAATGTTGTGCACGCGCACACAGCGACACCCCGTGAGCCTTGCCTGGCTCGCCAGGGAAAGCACAACAATCTCGTGAAGGCGATCACAGCTGCAGAGGACAGGAAGAACACGCATCACTTCGAGCACAGATTAATTCTATTTTAATTCTATTTATTTGTTGTTTCTAACAGCTTCTTGCTCCTAGTAGTATGGCCAGGAGCCCCTAGTAGCGTCCTTGCTCCTAGTAGCGATGCCCTTTGCTCCTAGTTTCGCTGTTGAACACCTGAATAGAGGCTTTCCAAGCTCACTTGACGCACTGTCAGGATGTGCTGAAGTTGACCATGCAGCGAGTGTGGTTGGCTTAAGAGAAGTTTGTGAGACCAATGTGTCGAACGGTCGGTCCTTATCTCTTGTCTTTGCATTACAAGCTTCTTGGCACTACTAGTAACAAGTGCCACGCTAGTAGTAACAAGTGCCTTGCTAGTGGTAACAAAAAGCTTTGGACAATACGTTTATCTTATGGATGCCAATAAGGACAGATCGGACAGCGTCCAAAGCAAGCATTTACACAGAGCTGGCAACTGAGATACATGCTTGATGAGCTCGTGTTCAAGATTAGGCCTAGCGAAACTAGTAACAGGTGCATTTCACGCTACTAGGAGCTCCCGGCATCGTTACTAGTAACAAGTGCATTTCTACTAGTAGCAAATAGCTGATGCACTTGTTACCAGTAGCGATGAGCATAAACCATAAGCGACAAGGAGCCACACGACATGGGCCACACGCCTCAAGTCTTTTTTTCCAAGTTGCCCTGAGGGAAATGATGCCAGGGGAGGCCGCAGGTGCTTGAAAGCACTTGGAATTGTTGAGTTTGATTTTTGTCGTCTGCTTCAAGCGCATTTGCCTTGCAAACGCAAAGCTGAATGCACTCTGTGCTTTGAAAAGCAACAGGGATCCCACAGACGAGCTGGAGAGAAGTTCTGTAACAAGTTTTGACAAGTAGATAGGTTTGGTGCCCACTTCTTCCAGCAAATCGAAGCTCTTGCAGCAATCGTAGGCATGCTTGATCATTTCCAAGAAATGAAGGATCAATCGATTGTTTTGGCAGAGTGTTCGGCTATGCAGAAAAGCGTGAAGAACGGTTTTGCAGATTTGCACACCAAATAAGCTGAATAGTTTCTGCTCCTTGGTTTGGCCACGAACTGCATTGGGAAGGGACAAGCCTGAATAGTTGCGAGTGACACCTTACTCTCACCTGCTTCCAAAACAAAGGAAACGAAACATCAAACCAAAGGTTAAAGAAAAGATTAATCCAAATATTGGTTCCAGAAACGGCTTTGTCGATTCAACGCCTCACCTCCAATGGTTCAGACCGGCTGGTTTGGGGCGTGCAAAGATTACTTTGGAAGACACCAAGGGATCCAAAGTTTGGTGGGACTTCTGGACCAGGGAGCTGAGACAAGACATTCAGGGGCTCTGCAAGTGCCCAGAGAGAAGTTGTTTTGACCGGTTTGTCACTTCAGGACAAAGGGTGCATCATGTTCAATCTCACGTTGCCCAGAAGAACCTTCAGTAGACGGTGGCCTAGCTTTTAAGTACTTGCCTTTGGGCTCCCTTCAAACAATGTACATGAGGGATTCCGAAAGCTTCAAACAAGATCTGATTTGGTTGCATCTCGTTTGCAGAGCATTGCTTCCCCACAAGATCCTGACAACAGTATGCTGTAAGCCAGTAGGCAGGGAAGCTTAGAATGTCTTTCCAAAAGTAAGATTAGATGCCGCACCAGTGTGGAACTTTCCTATCGTGATGGGACACACAAAAGTTTGTGTATGCGTGCAGACAATCATTTGGTTCACTGTCAAAAGAACCTAAGTGGACTTGGATCAGATACGGAATGGTTTACAAAATTTGGACATGAGCTCACAGGCGAAGAGTCAAGTTTACCAGATTGCAAGACTGCACGGCAAAAGACAAAGACCCCTTGAGAGCTGTTCAAAGAGGGTCATTTAGGTTCTTAAGTTGACAGGGCATATTATTGGCGAAGCTTTGCGTTCTCATGCCAAGACAGCGCCATGTGTTTTTGGTATTGCTCCTGGCAGCACTTGCTGGGTCAGTGGTGTGGGTGGCAAGGACTGATTCGAGCAAGATAAAGTTGCTGAGCTTTAGTAGAATCAATATTACTTGGGATGGAGATGTGCGCCAACAGCTAGAACGTCTCGCTGGTGAGGTACGAACCTCAACTTCAATCGCGTTGCCCTCCCCACATGCGCCGGCTTCAAAGGAAGAACAGATGGAGCAAGGCCAGCAAGGCATGTTGAAAGCAGCTGGAAGAGATGTTGAAATCCAAACTAACCTTCCATCGGATCCTATCAGCCAAAGCACGAGCAACCCGCCTGCCTCTACAGCTTCAGCTTCCACGTCTACTCCGAAGTTCTCGTCATCCGTTTCCACGTCACCTCCGCCCTCCATTTCGGCCTCTTTGAGGAGTTCCCTTTCTTCCGGCCGTTCCGGGCTCCGGCAGATCTTGAACGAGGTGTGCCAAGTGGAACGGAAAGCTCCTGGTGTTCACATGCGTCACATGCCTTTGGTTCTACGAGAACAAGTCTTTTCTACCTTGGGCGAAGTGATCTCGTCTCAACCTTTGGCTCCACTGGACATCAAGACGAATCCCTTAATGGCTTCGCCACCACAACCGAACTGCCACCTCCCGGCGCTCAAAGAATTCTTGACCGGAGATTTGCGAGAGAAGCCCTTGATGTTGATCGATTTGCCTACAGGCATGCGTGGGTTAATATCAATGTTTGTTGTTTTGTTTGTGTTTTGAATAAAAATGATGTTTTAAAAAAATAACAATAACGTGATTTTACACATGGAAAAATAGAGGCATGGGTGGTGGCCCCGAATTGGAGTTTTTAGAGCTTCGGCTCTTGGAGCTTCAAGACATTGCAGATTTGATGGTGGCAGCGGAGTCCGATTTCACCTTCCGTGGAGATCGAAAGCCTCGACTGTTTCAGAAGAATGCAAATCGCTTCAAGAATTTCAATCATTTGTTGTATTTGGACTTGGATCGTTGTGAACGATTTCGAGCGGCGATCGACAAGACAAGGGCAGAACACGGTCGTTCTCAGGCACAGTCGTTGTGGGCAATTCAGAACACACAAAGACAATGTTTGTGGCAACTGCTTCAGTCTGAGCGACCGAACTTGACGAATGAAACCCTGGTGATCTTCTCAGATTTAGATGAAATCCCCAATGGTGAGCAGATGTTGGCAATGAAGCACTGCGAATGGAAAACGGAAGCCAAGTGTTTCCAACTACAACAGCATGTGGTGACCTTTAACCTTCGTCAGGTTGGAACAGCTGCAGCAGGTTGTTTTCCTCAGAGCCCATGGAAACAAGGACTGCTACTTCAGCTTGGCTGGGCACGAGCTCATGTGTCCATCCCTTTGCGGTTGAAGGTGGCACCGCTCCTGAAAGGTGGCGCCACACATTTGTCACATTTTGGATCGGCGCCTGAGCTGCTGTTGAAAGGTCTTCAACATGGAGAGGGCGGCGGATTGTTTCTGAAGTTTCAGAAGAACAGAACGGCTTGTACTGCTACGGATCAAGATATTGATCAGCTATTGACCACCTTCCGTGATGACCCCATCAGCATTGTGCGAAGTTGGGAGAAGAAGAGTCATCCACTGCCCAAGGCCAAACCAAACAAGGCCACCTTGGAGAAGTGTGGCATCCCCTGGGCGCTTCGGGAGAATCCCCAGCGCTATGTCTCCTTTTGGGGCTTGAGAACCAAATTGGTCCAAAGTGCCAAAGGTCTTCAAGGTCTTCAAAAGGACGAGAGAGTTTGGCAAAAAGAACTTCCCCCAGCTGAGCCAAGCATGGTGCGAGCTTTCGGCTTTGTTTTGTGAATACAGAGAATCTGTTAGGTACGAAACACACAAATTGGCCAAGCTGTAAACTAAGCACTGCAAGTTTGCAGTGCAGGCATGGCACGGGCCGAACGGGAGTAGGTTGGCCCCATACGCCTCATTTTTGTCCCCATAACTGTCATCACATTGTGGGCTGGAGCACGTTTGACTTTCTTGCAGACGGTGCTGATCCAATCATTAATAGCGTAGACTTCGACCCCATAAAATGCCCCAGGTGCAGTGTTCTTGCTGCCAATTATTCGATCGTAGCCGCACATGCAATGCATGGAGATGATGGAGATGGCAATTATGGACTATCGGCTTCTATGGCAAGTCTGGTCCAAAATGAGCATTTCATACTAAGACTGGGGTGGATACAAGAAAGGTCAGCGGTGTTTTCCTGTTCAGCACAACATGGGAGATTTCGCTCAGTCCTCAGACTTTCTTTCTCCAACCTTGAGCTAAGCGTTTGAAGGCAATTGAAGTTAGGACACAAACAGAAATAAGGCAAGCAACACATACCAAGCAGACTTTAGGGAGCAAGTGGAGATCGCACTACTTTTCTAAAGTGAAAATGGAAGCACCTGAAGGCGAAAAGCTGCTGAAACAGCTTCCAATCGCAGAGTCCCAACTCAACCCGACGTTGTCCACAAATTGGCACCACGAGATGCTGCATCCAAAAGCCGTCCTTCCCTGGTGTTCAATGCGGAATCGACATTTCTTTTTGGACTATTTGCAAAAAGTAAGGTTGCAAGAAGGTGGAACAAAAGTCACCCCGGGCAGCAGGGTATTCGCAGGGCGTTTGTAGCAAGCAGTTCATGAGTATATTTTTGGATCGAACCAAATACCTTGCATCAGTAACAAGAAGCTAGTAGAAACAAGTGCCACGCTACTAGGAACAGGTGCCTTACTAGTGGTAACAAGAAGCTAGTAGAAACTAGTCATTTTCGCAAGACCAGCTGTTGCGCCTCAAGGGCAGTCAGAGAGTAGGATAGATTCTGGCTTGCCTGCGGGTTTGTGCAACGCCATGGCATCGGGCATTGTAATTGCTTTGACCCTCATTTTCTTGGGCCACCACATCACGCACTATGGGACACAGGCACAGTCTTTGGCTGTCCGTGCTTGGAAGTTTTTTGAAAGGACCAGCCATTCGTGCACTGACGATGCAGTTCGGGAAGAGCATGTGAAGGCGGCACTTTGGGATTTGCGTGCTAAGATCTACCGACATTGCATCGAGTTTTTGGTGCATGTGGTTGGCTTCGCAATCATTGGCATGGGCTACAAACTGAGCGTCGACCCGTTATCCATGTTTCAACTTGTCCAATTGTGCTTAATGGGCTGCGTTTACACGGCCCACCACTCGGTGTTGAGTGGAAGGTTACAGTTGAATTGGACAAATCTGAGAGGCATTTATTGTGTTTTCTACGCCTCATTCATCATCTTCGTTCTCGTTAACCTTTGGCAAAATGAGACAGCAGCACGTGCTGTTATCAACCAAGCATTCAATGTGTGTTCCCGGATGTGCCTTGTCCATTTCAGCACTTTTCCGGCGCAAAGCAACACATTTTTCTCAAGTCGACAAGATTGTCCACTCAATGCAGTTCTCGGCCATAGTAGCCTGCACTACTTCAGCTGTGTTAATGTTGACTTTTCAGCACGTGTATAGTAAATCAGTTTAAACGGCCAAGATTGTGCTTAAGGCAAGGTTTTATTGATTTTCGCATTTTCTCGGGCAGATCTGGTTAGCTCCATGAAGCTAAAAACACTTGCTCAGTAAACATAGCTAGGGTTGGTTAAAGCCGGAGCTTTACTTACGACAAAGCTACAAGCTGCCAGCAAACCCCTCCATTGAGGATCATGTCCGTGATCTTCATTGACACCTTGACAGCTGCACCAGCACAGATCGCCATATCCATGGCTGAGGTTTTCGAGTATTCTATGAAAGAGGCGTGGGCAAACAAGGTGCAAAGAACAATATAAAAGAATGTCAAAAGAAATTAATATACCCCAAACAGTTTCAGATGGTGTTTTTACGTCAATTCCTTGAATTCCAGTGTTGGTGGAAACGTTTGGTTTGCACCTTTATTCCTATAGCCTCCAGCTGTTTGGGAACAACATGCAATCAAAAACGATGTTTGGGCACGCCGTGCATTCATAGCCAGAGAAAAACAAGAACGGACCCGGACAAGGCCTGGACAAGGCGTGAAGAAAGGGCGGATGGCGCAGCCACGGCCATGGTGGCCGGCCTCTTTTTCAGCAGAGATAACCCTACCAGTGAATCAAGATCCAAAGATTACAAAAAACAGAAAAAGCGATGGCCTCAAACCTAGAAGAAAAAGAAATAGAAAATGTCCGAAAACGTGTTTGTTTCTCGGACTGACGATGGAAGTCGAGAGTAGCACGCTGCTCCGCAACAAGTGGAACCTGTAGCGGAGAAGTTCAGTGTTTGTCAGGGACAGCGTGGAGCCATTGAAACAAAAGACGTCAAGAGTGGAAGCAACATAATAGATAAGCCAGGCTCTGTGTTTGTGATTTTGATTGATATGTTTGAAATACAACCATTGCCAAAACAAGGACTAATTATATGTAGTGTCCATGCAAATAAGTTACAACCTTCAGTCTGGAGACCGTTCGAAAGATTAAAGAGCAAAGGGAGAGGAAGAAGAGAATAGAAGAGAGCGCAAGGCCAAACTAGGACAGACGAAAAGATTAAACAAACAAGTTTAGGCCATCGGTTTTAGGCCTTCGGATCATGAGCAATCAAGTTTGGCCCTGTCGAAGCTGTGAGTTCTCCAAGACTGACTTCCGCCTTTTTAGCTTACCTGTGCTGTGCATCCTCGGATTGCCGGTACATGCTTGCAGGAGGTGGCAGATACCATTGTCTATGCATGGGTTCAGGTTCTCATTTCCGCTGGGATCATTGGTTTCTCAGCAGTCCTGGAGCCACACGGTTGGAATTCTTGCTTAGTTGGCCAGGCCTGGCACTTTTTAACTGAGTTGTTGTGTTTTGTGCTGTTTGATCCCCCGTAGTGACATTCTCCTTGATGTTTCACTGTTTCTGTCCTATATCCTGCTTGGCAATGCGAAGCAGGTCTCCTCATGGAATCACAAGACGTTCATGTTAATGGTTACATGGTTTTTGACATTGCCGTGCAAAGGTATTGGGTGACCTCGCACATCTCTGCGCTGGTGGACACGGAGTCGATGTTGTCAAGCTTTCGACACATGCTGCGCGGCGTGTGCGACGGGGAGGTCTTGCTGACTGAGGAGATGAAGATCAAGGTGGCTCTGCCAAACCCAAGAGTAAGTGGTCTGCGGGCATCAGGTGGGACGAAAACATGAGTCCAACCTAATAGCGTCCTTGTTCCTAGTAGCGATGCCCTTTGTTCCTAGTAGCTTCTTGCTCCTAGTAGTCAGGCCAGGAGCCCCTAGTTAGTAGCGTCCTTGCTCCTAATAGCAAAACTCAGAGGCAAGAATCTTAAAACATTAGATCTTGAGTTTGCAAAGGAAGGGTTTTAGAGTTCAAAGACATGCTGGCAACTTCCGCTGCAGTCACAGTCTGTGCCGCAAAGGAAGACGCAGAGTGCCTCAAGCATTTGCTGATGAACTCAGCTAGTTTCAAAGGACTGGTGAGCGAACATGGTTTCTAATGGCTTCTTGTTACTACTAGTAAGGCACTTGTTACTAGTAGCGATGCACTTGTTCCTAATAGCGGTGCAGCAATGCATTTCATGTTGTTTAGGCTCTTTCATTTGCATTCCATCAGATAATAAGGAATAATGTCCTTGAGAAGGAATCGTTTCGATCATGCGCCGGGGTCTTCAAGCAAGCTTCCTCCCCGCATTCAGCAGTGTAATTTTTTTGAACAACCCGATGACTTCTGTGTGATTGTTTCTAGCGAATATGTTTACCACCATATTAGCTTCTTTCTAGCCCCACCACAAAAGAAAAGAGAAAGAAGCAAAAGCATGAAGGAAAAGACTTTGAGAAGTTCCTTGACCCCGAAGAAGTGGCTCGGTTTCGAGACTTCCTGCAGCAATCCAACCGTGATGCTCTACAGCCAGAAGAGCGAAGGCCCAATACGCCTCCGTGTTTGCGCATTTCCCTAAGAGGTGCTTCAGATATACGCGTTGCTGGGCTGCACTTGCGAAAAACTGTTTTGGATGAGTTGCTAGCCAGTTGCAAGGTGAACTTCGTCGAATCAACTAGTATTCCTGTTGATCTTAAGAAGAATCACGTTCGATCCTCAGGTTGGCGTGGATTTGTGGCACGTACCGATGCGTGGGAAGGACGGCTCCATGCATCTCATCGCCTTGCGCGAAGACAGCGAGGCAGCACAGCGCGTGGTGCTTGCAGTGGAGGGCCAGAAGGACATAGCCATCCCTTTTTCCAAAGAAAGCGCCTGAGATGGGATAGTGATCTTTGGTTTGAACTCTTTTTTGGTGCATGAACTAGCGGAGGTTAGAGAGAGAGAGAGAGACAGAGACTGAGACTGCAACGAATTCTTCCGTACTGCTTGTAAAATCACCGTCACAGTAGTTTTAACCGATAGGGCTTCGAACAAATTGATCAGCTTGCTGAAGACTTGAAGAAAGCAATGCCAATGCTTCATTACAGGTGATTCGGAAACTACGTCGGAGACGCATTCGGAGTCTCAGAAGAGCTCACTTTCGTTTCTCCAGAGCTTTCCTGAGCTTTCGGACATGACCCTCTGTGTGGATACCTCAACGCATTGGTTCGACGTGGAACAGGCACGCTCTTACCCGAATATGAAAGAATACAGACTGGTCTGTGAGTCTAGAAGTGAAAAGAAAAAAGAGGAAGGCAAAGGGACGGCGACAATGACCTTCTAATTCTCTTATCCTAAAATCTTGTTGATCTTTCTTCTTTCAAAGGGCTTAATTCTTGGATTACACCCTACTCCTCTAGTACCCGACATGGAACAGGCGCACTTGAGCTTTGTTCGGCAGCCACAATCTTCGGACTTCTCGATGCCGAGCCTCAGACGTTTGGTGCGTCCCACGGTGACTTGGCGGATTTGGTTTCAGGTTCGACATGCCGCGATTGTAGAATTATCCTAGTAGCGTCCTTGTTCCTAGTAGTAAGGCCAGGAGCCCCTAGTAGCGTCCGATCGCTCCTAGTAGCGATGCCAGGAGCCCCTAGTAGCGTTCTTGTTCCTCCTAGTAGTAAGGCCAGGAGCCCCTAGTAGCGTCCGATCGCTCCTAGTAGAATTATCAGATGGATCTTTTTGAAAGAAGATATGACATGTGCCTGGTCCAAGGATTGGGAAACGGTCCGATCCAAGTTGAAAGCAGTTGCCGCGAGGAATGGGGAAGAGATCATGCGGTTGAGGCCGGGTTCAAGTTTGGTAGGAAACTGCACACAAGTCCCTAGTAGCGTCCTTGCCCCTAGTAGCGTCCACGCTCCTAAAAGCAAACTAGTAAGGCAGGACTTCGTGTTTGGGATTGGTTGCAACATTTTCCACTAGAAATGGACTTGAGAGACATCAGTTCAGGTAGGGTTGGACTTCCACGGTTGTGAGTGTTTCTTGTTCCCGAAAGCACCTGCGAAGGGTTCTTCGCAAAGAACGGCTGCCGACTTCAAATGTCCAACCATCATCATCACAATCATTTGCACAGTATCATCATCAGCAGTATGTTTCTTTCCATACACTTTGCATCCGGCAGATGGGGTGGACCGCTCCAACAGGAGATGAAAGAGGTCCCAGCTCATGTTCGGAAGAATCTGCACAGATCAACTGAATAACCAGGAGAGGAGCCGAGTAAATGTTCCCTCGCTTGGCTTTGCCGAAATTCTCTCCAGACGACGTGAAGAACGGCATGTTGCCTCATACATGGGCATCGGTGTTCATCCCAAGTGCCGAAGTAAGGTTGGCAGGCGGGTGTACCCGCTCTTCAAAAGCTTGCAGCGCTCCCTCACTCAGCGCCTCACTCCACAGCAAAAAAGGTCTTTGTCGCGTTCAGCAAGGTGCTGCAACATGCTGGGCAGCCAGCAGCTGCAGAGCGACCAAGCCACGACACAGACCTGGGAAGTCGATGAGCGGCTGAACATCAAATCCATCAGTCATCTGTGGCCAATATTCAGCTTCACATGAGGTCGAGGTGGTGCGGATTTTTGAGTTCTGCCAACTAACAAACAATTTACCACAGTGTCGGCACATATGTACATCTACCCTCAAAGGTGTCTCTGGCAACATCAAATGCAAGATGGCATGTTGATAGAGTTCATGACGTCTAGAAAAATCAAGTGTGAAAACGTTTTTTCTGCAGACCCACGCCTTCAGCATGTTTGCTTGCCATGCAGGAACTAGTTGGTCAAAGCACCGATGCAGGGTCAGGGCCGGATGTTCCCATCCAAGCGCAGTCAATACGCACAGTGAGCGCGACAAATACAAGAGTCCACCAACTAGTAGCGTCCTTGTTACTACTAGTAAGGCACTTGTTACTAGAAGCGATGCACTTATTTCTACTAGCTTCTTGTTACTAGCCTGAGTTGATTTGTGAGACGTCTTGGAAAAGAAGGACAGCATCCAGGACCGTTTGCGCACCAGAGCCTTCAAACTGCTCCCCAAGCGCCTCTTTCACGATAACCAAGTTGCGAGTGCCGAGTCATGTTCTGGAGGATGTGGTGTTGAGTTTGACAAGTAAACAAAGGCATTATGTGGTGCAAATGCAGCGCGGGAAGGCTTAGAACTGATTTGCAAATGTAGTACGGGAAGCGGCTGCAACTTTCTAGTGCAAATTTGAGTGTAGTGCGCGAAGTGGCTTCGTGGAGCTCCGGGTGGCAAACTTGCGTTTGTGATGTTGCTGTGCCATGCGCTTTTCAGTGGCCTCGGTGGCAAGTGTGTTTGCCTCGTTGGGAAAAGACAAGCGTGCGTGCAAGTGCAGCATGTCGCTGGTAACCGGGCTGATTGTTGAGCTCCGCAAAGAACAGCGGCATCATCCTCACCATCGCGCGTTAAGAAAGCACTGAGTGAACGAAGGCCATAGACATGAAGATGACCTGTAAAGCGCTTCAACCCCGATGTTTCCTCGTTTAATACGCATTGGACCTGTCTTGCTCCCTCTGTCCTTTCGGGGCAGCGTTCAAGCAGCTTTTTGGCCTTTCTGCTGTTTTATGTCTGAGTCGGGGGGGCGGTTGGCCAGGTTGCAAGATGATGCCAAGCGCTCTTTGATTGCCAACACGGTTCAGATTTCGGCCTATCGACCACCGAGGGGTGGCGCGGGGGAGATGAAACTCTGCTTGAACTTCAGCGACCTGGTCTTTGAGGGGAAGCACTGCGAGGACTTGGAGGGCCCGGCAGTTCTTTTTTGGTTGATTAGTGTATTCGGTTGCAATATAGATGTCCGTATGCGCGCAAGTGCTTTAGCTCTATGAAATGAAGCATCAGTATTCATGCGCGAAGGCAAAACCTTACGTTGCCACCACCAAAACAGAACCCTGCATGAGGATGGTTTGGATTGAAAGTTTGACTTCCACAAGCAGGACAAGAACCTTAAGGCGATTGAAGAATAGTGTTTCACCCGTCGGACGGAGTCTTCTCAATTAATTTTTCTCAAGAACGACCACATTGAGCTCGGCCAGCGATGTCATCCCAGAGTGCACTTTCTCGGAGATAGTGCAAAAAGTGTCAGTGTTGTGACTTGGCATGACTTTGTTCACTGAGAACAGATTGGCCGACAAGCTCCTTGTGTTATCACAGCTCTGGAAGGTTGGCAGATTGGCCGCTTCTCCACAAGCGTGGCGTAACCACGCAAATGTAGCTGGCGAGCGAAAAAGTCACGAGATGCTGAATCTGTTCAACGTGGCCAATCGGGTGTTTTGCAGGTCTTTCTGTTTTCACGGAAACGGTTCAATACGGCCAGGTGGTAGGTTCAAAATTGGCTGCGCAAAGCACCTTTGATATGTTTTCTTTCATTTGAATTGATATTGAGGGGATTGCAGTGTCAACTTGACAGAACATGTTGTAGCAGGCCTCACTCATGAATTATGAGCGATGAGCCGACATTGCCCACAATTGGCATCTTCATCGAATCGGAAACAGATAAATTGGATCTGTTACGCGGATCTTAATTTTCTACTCGCAGATGAAAAATTGCCCGACGACGATTTACCCAGAGAAGACGAATTGCCCTCCGAAGACGGTTACAATATATGGTTGTCGATCTAAAGGTCCTAAATAGCATTGTGTCTGATAATGACCTGGAACATATCAAAATCTCATTTGGTGAAAGTTTTTTCTCGAGTTGGCGAAAGTAAATGTGTTTTTGGCGAAAGATCTGGTGGCAGTGACTCAGAAGTTAAATGAGTTATGGAAGTTAAATAACGTACTGCTGCGGTCACTATTACTATTACTACTATTACCATCACTACTACCACTACTACCCACCATTTTTGCTATAAAATTCTATTCCGTAAAAAACGAAAATTTAATTTAAGATTGGCGAAAATTTACTTTGTTACATTTATGATTCCTAATTGATTTTGAATAAGTTTGAATTATTGATTATTTTTTTCCCGAAAGCATTGCGAAGGATTCTTCCGGAAAATCCTTTGACCACTGATACTTCGACACTTGTACTTACACATTGACACTTCCACACTTACACATACACATTGGAAGAGCGAAAGCATCCAAGTGCGAAGTATGCCAGTGTCAAAGTATGCAAGTGTAAGTATGCAAGGGTGAGTATGCCATGATATGCAAGGGTGCGTATGCAAGCATATAATGAGCAGGCAAGTGTGAGTATGGAAAACTAGCACGGAAGATATCCTAATGAAAAAACATTTCTCCACTTTATAAATTCTCTCTTAAAGGCGGAGTGCGGGACGAACAGCGTCAACCGAAAGTGCAACCCTCTGCGGAGATCGTGCGTGTCGAGTGCG